CTCACGTTGGCAAGTCATTAAGTCAAGAGTGAAAGGTCGTTTATTATTTTGTCTCTGTAGAAAATTGACTTTCAATGCCCTCGTTAGGACAGAAAAATACACTGAAGATAAAATTCCAGCTGTGTTGAAGTCAGTGGGGAAAATTCTGTGCGCAATCAGCAGCAGAAGGAGTAGTCCCACCCCAGATCCTCTGCCTTGGATCCTGCTCTCTCTGGCTGCTGGTATAGAAAACAGTTATGATAATTTATTCTGAAGCACCCTGCTTCTCCGCGTCACCCCCTGCAACAGCCTCCCACTTTCAGTGGCAGGAGACTAAGCCTGCCATGATGAGTTTTCTTAATTTACCTGACAGCCTAAGGTAGGCTGAGTACTTAATGATAGCTAGGGGAAATACCCCATTGCCCCTTTTTGTCCTGTACACCTGGTTATTTAATATGCAAATTAGAGAAAGGAATTAAATGAGCTTTTAAACCATAAAAAGTTATGCATGGTGTATTTACAGCAGATTCATGTGCCATTACCACACGGCTGGTTTCTGTACATTTGTCACATTTCATTTGCTTTCCTTGTATGTGGGTGCATCCCTCCTGGAAGGCTGGTCTCTTAAACATACTTTTAATCTTATCAAGGGGAAAATACTGACTTTGTTGTCAAAGAGTAAGACAGTCGTAGATTTTTCCACTTTCTTGTGCTGTATGCATAAGGAGTCTTCAAACTACTGTTAAATATTACTTAAGTGATCAGAGAAGATAGCCAAGGAAGCAAGAGACTTCCAACATGCAAATTTTAAAACCTGCTTTCTAACTTTTCTGTTGTGTAAATAAATTGGGCTATGTGCTGGGCTCAGTTGAAGAGGCTTTGACCTCATACAAAGACCCTAGAAGGACTCCCACTTGCAGGGATTCCCAAGGGCTTCAGAGGGCTTCCCACGTCCACCCGTGGCTTTTGCTTGGGCTGTCAGCATCATTTACCACCACCGGGAGCCACACGTCCTTCACTGATGGCATCAGGGAGCTTTTTGATGTTCCATAGTCTTCTGGCCTGCCCCTCACACTTGCTGCCCTAAGTGCCTGCATGGGCCTGGACCTCATCCTGAGCTGGAGTCAGAATGTTGGGGGCAGCACTTAGAAAAGAGAGATGCTCTTCAGATCAAGCAAGCTTATTTCCTCTATTCTTTCCATGCCAGTATGTGCTAAACTGTGGAGATAAGGTAGACCTGGGCCACCAGCTCAGTAGGATCTCAGGGGAGCGTGGGACACCTCTAGATTTTGGACTGCATCCATTAGATAACTATTAGGACCAATTTAAGACACATTCCTTTTCTGAGAGAACCTGGATAGTGATATACAGGACTGCATGTGGTAACCTTGTACCTGTTTTCTCTCCACCAACCATTCTTCTAGATGATTTCAAAAACACTTGTGAAGGATCTTGTTAATTTGTGATTTTAGATGGTCTAGAAGCTTTGTAATGATGCTTAAACGTGCACTTATGTTTTCTAATAACAAATTAACTTGGTAGTGTGGTAACAATATGTGTACTTTTCTGAATTTTTATTATACTATGTGACTAATGGAACATTTAAGAAGGCATCAGAATTACAGTGCTAGTAAGATCTACCTTAGAGTTTAGTCATTGCAGAGTATGTAGTCATCTGTCTTATTTGCTCAGACTTCTAAACCACACATAATGTGGTAAACTTTTAAGTAACAAACAAAATAAAATAACATTTTTCCCATATATATATCTCTCACAAAATACAGACAACTTTGCCATTGATAAAACAACAAAGCAGTAGGAGCAGCATTACCTTTTGGGTTCAAAAATCTCTTTGAGACAGACTCTGTTATTTATTAGAGTTTTATGCAGCCTTTATAAATAAATATTTCAGTAGTACCTGACTATTTTTTTGGAAATCTTAATCTCAAGACATCAGTTGTGAAAGTTAGAAAGCAAGAGACTTGACAAGTGAGCCCAGCACTTCTGAGATTATCTGACTGGGAGAACTCCTCCCATCTTCCTTTCCTAACGCAGCAGGGCCATGACAAGAGTAAAAGATTTAAGTGCCACTAAGATAAAAAAAACCCTGTTAAATAGTAGTGGTATGATTACTTATGATATTATGTGATTAGATATGATATTTAGGTCAACCTATGTCAGACCTGCTATTAAAAAGCCTGGAGAAATCATCCTTACCCTTAGAGATGTTTGGTTAAGGAGTGGGCTCTAAAAGGGCCAAAAACCTGGCCGTTCCAGGTTACTGCTTTCAGTGGGCTGCTGTGGAAGAAAAAATGTGGATGGATGCAGCAAATATTCCACAAAGATCCCAAAATTTCCATGCGGTGAAGTAAAGATGAGCATGCTGTGGTCACAACTAGACAACTAGCACCATGGGTTTCAGGACAGGGCCCTTCCCTGCTTGTTTCAGCAAAACGAAAGATCTAGACTGGCTTCATAGACTCCTGCATTTACAGCCAGTGAGGCATGAATTTATTTACTTTTATTTGGAAGAAAATCTAGAAATTAAAAGTGGTTTTAAATGATATAATACAGCTCAAAATCGAAAATGTTCTTTCAGGTGCCAAAACAAGATCAACAATTTTATCAACACTGTACTGGCTAAATCACTAGTGAAATGACATTGTACTGACACAGTTAATCCTTGATTTTTCTTTAACAGCCACTGTTCATTTCTTTGCAAGTTGCATTATAAGCTGTTTTTAAAAGTTTATTCTTCATCATAAGTCAATTTTTAAATTAAATCTGTTTAATCAAAATGCGAAAGGGTTCATTTAAGTAGACTCAACACAAAAGCTACTGTAACTAACTCGGATATTCTGGAATATTCGAGATTCACTGAACTTGTTTAAGCAGCTAACAATAGAAAGTAAAACTGGTGAGTTTTGTTCTTGCTGTCTCAAGACTTGCTTCAGCTAGGATTAAAACACTGGAAATGAAAGTTTTTCAGTTTCCTGCAAAGTTCCGTCAGCTGGACTCGACAACACCACCAGGAAAAAAAACCCCCACATTTTAGACTATATACAAAACTGCAGATGAATTGTGCTCCCTCCCCTCCTACCCCCATGCTTTTTATCCCCTCCCAGGCATTTAAATTATCTTGAAAGGCTGCTCTACCTTCTGGAAAAAATGAGAAAACATTCTGTTGAGAGTTAATTTGCCTCTTTTTGCATTTCCTGTTCAGCATTTGTCTTCCATTGCTTTTCTTTTATCACTAGGGATATTTGCATAACAATGGGATCTTTCTTGCCTAAAAGATCATCTGTTCCCGCTGCTAATTTCTTACCTGAAGTTGTAATCTTCTGTTTGTGACATCTTAATTATCTCAACCATAATTAATTGTGATGTCACAAATGGAGGATTATGACTTTGGGTTGGAAATGAGATTGAGAAATTGAAGGAATTTGAAGAAGCAAAGAGGTCTTTCTTCTTGAAAAATAAAAGAGGAGACAAAATGATTTTGGTTAAGCAGAGGCAGTCCTCCACCAGCTTCCTTCTTACGGCTGTGGAACAGATGTTTATAATTCTTGCTATCATAGGAGGCCCTGTTGTATTGAGATACTGTGGAGAGGGAGAAAGGGGGCAAAGATTTCATGGTGGAGGAGGAATCTTCCCTTGAACAGTTATCCCCCTGCAGCAAGAGAGAAATAGAAGTCAGGGGACCCCGGAGAGACCCAGGCTGTGCTAGGAGAGAGAAAAACACAGAGCTGGTATGTCTGCAGTTGGTTTAAAGGCTAATCCATTTATTGCCCTTCATATCTTGCAATATTCATTTTGGTTTAGACATCTGAATTTGAAGAACAGGTTTACAGAAGAGTGTTTTTTGAGGAGTGGGGGAAATTCTAAAATCTTAAGGAGAAATTACATTCACTATCCTAAAAGCACACAAAGTGAAAGCTTTGTGCTACTGTAGTCCACTATAGCTTAATTTTATCCTATGAAGTTATATTTCACTTTTTGATACGTCACCTTATCTTTTTGTATCCTCATGCTTCTCTTCTGGAAATGAGTTGTTTCCACAGAGATTCTGGGTGGCTGGATGACCTGTTGGTGTTTTTGTGAGGACATTATTAAGGCCGTTTATCTAGAATTATAGAATCATAGAGTCGTAGAACAGTTTTGGTTGGAAGAGACCTTCAAGGTCATTGAGTCCCACCTTTGTCCCAGCCCTATCAACACCACTAAACCATGTCCCTCAGAACAACATTTACCCGTCTCTTAAACTGCTTATGCCGTGATTCACAAAGTGTCAATACTCATCTACAGCTACTGTCTCTTCACAACAGTGTTTACACAGATTGTGCACGAACACTGGGAGCAAGTCAAGACTGAAAGAGGAAAAAACCTCAAAGTTAATAAAAAATGAAGTGTTTTATTTTAACAGCTTTACTGCCATTATGGAAAGGGTAAAGGCTGCAAAGTAGAGGGATGAAAGTGGAGAACGAAATGAAGATTAGCCCCGTGCTTTTAGGAAAGTACACTGTCCTTCAGAAAAGTGTGCACCCATCCTCCGGTGTAAATGGAATTGACCCCCAGTGGAAACAGGCCATTCTGCAGTTGCTGGGACGCAGGTTCACCTGTGCCTGTGTATCAAACCTGTTTTAGCAGTTGGTTACATACCAGCTTCTGGACCATAGCAAAATGGGCGATTTCCTGTCATCTTTTAGAAAACATTGTAAAACAGCCATTTGACCATCTGATTAACACAAAAAGTGGTAGGGAAAATCAGCTGCTAAGATTTTACACTCAAATACATTGCTGTAAGTCTGCAAAAGCTCTGCAGGCAACAACAGACCCACTGTGATAATCTGACAGCAGAATCTGGACCTTCCACATTGTGAAGTTCATTTGTGGCACCAAGTTTACCTTGTAGGCAAGTTGGTTTGAAGTTAAATTAAGAAACAGAAAGGGGGAAAAATGCACCATATGCTGTGAAATGGTTATATGTGCCAACTCTTTTTTCTTTTTATTCTTTTTCAAAGGCAAAAGCAGTTATGGCAAAAGTGGGTTACCCTCAGTTTATAATGAATGACACATATATTAATGAAGACATCAAAACAGTAAGTGTCAGACTTGCAGCTTTCTTCTTTTACATATCGCAGCCATTCTTTTCTCCATTTCACTGCTGTCTAAAATCAAAGCTTCTCTGTTTGGCATGCATCTGGAGTTCTGCTTGCCTGTTTATTTTTAGATGTTGAATTAAGTATGCTAGCTCTCATGTCCAAATTGTTGATGCTTGTATGTCCAAGAGAGATGACCACAAGGCTTACTGGGAGTACAATGTGCCTGGGTGCAAAGAACCTTCATGCTGTTAGACATTTTAAAGGTTAAACATACACTGTCATAAAGTTTGCATTTAGTTATAAAAATGAAACAAACCCATATCTCCTCAAAGTAATGGTCTTCAAAAACACTAACACATTTTTTTTGTCAGAATATTGCAGTTTGTAATGCCCTATATAGGTTTTCTTCATTTCTCTAGGCTATGAATTTTATTTATGATTGTTGCATGTAGTCATGCCTACAGGTCCTAACCAACGTAAAGTCCTACTGTGCCACCTTACTGGACAAGGATACTGTGGGAGGACTCCTTCCTGACCCAGTATCTGTTCAGCTTAGCTAGGGCAGAAAGGCAGATGATGAACACTATATTTTACCATTTTCCAAAGGAGTAACTGGGGCGTACACATCATGAATTGTATTGCTAAAAGCCACAGGCAAAGTAGAACCACAAATGTAATCCTGAACTGGTAAAATACAAGAGTGGTAGTCAGCTTTGCCAGAGAACATTAACAAACACTAAACAGAGGTGTAATTTATTGACAAAAATTTGAAGAACCAAATCTACCAGTCTAGTTTGTGTTCCTGGAAAGAGTAGGATGAGATGGTGCCATGAAGGCAGAGTAACAGGATGGAAGATGTGACCAACCTTATCACTCAGAGTATCGAATTATTTGCCTAGATAAGCGTTGATGCCTAGGAAAACCCACTTGTTAATCACAGTTGCAAAACTATAGTTTACATCTGAAGGGCAACTTCCTCACAAGTTCTAGGATTGCTTGAAACTGGTGACAGGGATATCATCTGGATTTATAAATTATTAAGATCCCTTTTTCTTGCATGGTTAGTTGTGTGTGGGGGTTATTGTTATTAGATTTAGAGACTTATGGAGGCATGGAGCCTTTTTCCTGTGAACATTTAATGAGAGAAACAGTAAGAAAACAGTGGCAGAACTCTCAGAGGGCACAGAATATGAAGTATTTGTAATAAGATGCAAGACACACTAAAAAAGGGAGTATTTTTTGAAAGTGGTTTTAAAATGCACTTTAAAAAACAAAAGTAGACCTATTTCATTTTGAAAAAGAGGCTGTGTTAATAATACCCATAGAAATATGCAGTCTGCAATTCGTTGTTGAGTACTTCTGACTTCCTCAGCTCCTCTCTACACAGGGAAGAGCTTTTCTGATGTTGCAGTCCCTTGTGTAGATCCATTCAGGCACTGTTTTTTAAAGAAGCTCACAAAGTATTTATTCTTCTACCAAGTGCAGAAATTTTACTTGCTGTGATACTGGCTAGAAAAATTAGGTCACTATCTCATTTAAAATAAACATGTTGATTGTTTTATGCCAGATTTTGTTTCCTTGGACATGCTTTTAAAATGTCTGTGCTTTATCTATACAGCTGAAGTTTACAGAAAGTGACTATTTTGGCAATGTGTTGCAAACTCGCAAATACGCAGCCCAGTCTGATTTCTACTGGCTTAGAAAAGAAGTTCCCAAAACAGAGTGAGTAGACAAACGGCAAATTTGCATAATATGCTAACAGTATTTTAATTTACATTATTTAATTTACACAATTTGCGTCTTAATAGAATTATATACATAGCTACGTATTATGATACAAAAAGCCTATGGGCAACCTCCCAGTTATTCAGAAAATCCTGTGGATATTTTTTTTTTGTTATGTTCTAGATATCCCTATTCTGATGCACAGTAGTCATATGCTTGCAGTTTAAACTTAATTTAACAAAAAAGGGCTAATTAAATCTAAACTAAAAATGGATTATGTCTCTTTGTCACAGAATTTGGAATGGTCCAGCAGGGATTTATGAAATAAGATTTCTAAGAATGGAACTATTAGAAAGAGATAATGTTATTATTAGTAATAGCAATCAGCATTGTTAGTTACCTGCTCTCGATAGAAATGGTATGGAATAAAACATGATTTGATTTACCTATATTATTTTTACTTATTTATAAACATGAGAGTGCAGATTATGCCACATACTGTCATAAAATACATCGGAGAATCAGTCTCTTTGCTTACTGGTGGGTAATCGAATCCTTAAAATGCAAATTAAAACCTAAAAAGAGCTTAATTAGTCTAATCATGTTACTTGAAAATGACGTCTTCTGCACAGAGACTTTGGAAGGAGTGCTTCTGCTTAGCTCCTCTGGTAGTATTTCCTTAGGGTTCCAGAAATTCCTACTTAAACTGAACAATATTCTGTTAAGGAAGTGTCTCTGTATTGTCTGTAAGGCAGGTAGAGGATGTCAGCAGGACAAGCTATTCCTGGTTAGAGCATTGTGATTTGGCCCTGTTTTTTTGAGGGGTCTTTTATAGCTTGTGAGTAGTAATTGTGAATTTTACTTTCTTGTCACGGCTTTCTCTGACATTGCAATGATTATTCCCAGGGGTTGATTTTACAGGCTTTCCTGCAGCCCTGTGTTCCAGGGCTAGATCATAACAGTGTATTTTCTTCAGACCAAGCGTTTCCATGAGAGCAGTGAAATAACACTTGCCTCTCTACAGCAGTGGTGATAAGCAACCTCCTCCTCCCAAACAGCAAAATAGCGTTGGGGTAGCACTAACACAGAGCACGTAGTAGGTTCTTGGCACGATGGGAAATGTCCCTTGTAAGGAAATTAATTGGCAGGTAATCCCTGACTGTACCCCTTAGGGGTTGTAATCTGAGAACTGCTGCATGGGTATGCTTAAAAAATGAAGGTTGTACCCGATTGCCCAATACAAGATTGAGCATTTTCTCATGCTTGTCTTTACCATTTTATTTCAGGGACTGCTTAACAGCAGCCCCCTCATCACCTTCCTCTTGCTTCTCTTGTCATCCCCTAAGACACATTCTGGCCTGTGGGATCCCAGTTTGATTTTTAGTCTCTTTCCTTTGTCAGCACAGCTATATGCTTTGCCTTCTGCAGGGCTAGGGATAATCCTCACCTGGGCCCTCAGTCATAATTATTCCTGCTTGGAGATTATTCTGCATTTGCACCTGCTTGGCAATAGAAAAGGGCTCTTAGAGTGGTGTCACACTGTTGGCTTTTGCTATGTCTGCTGAGGGGAACCAAGGCACAGAGAGTAACTGCCACCTCCAGTAACCTTTTAAAAATTTATTATACTAAACCAGTAACTCCCACCTGGCAATCTGAGACACGTCCAGACTGGCCTGAAAAATATCAGCAGTTGCCATATTTTAACTATTATAGTCTACTGCTTTCTAATGCTTTTACTTCTCTTTTTTTTCTCTTATTTTCTTTTACTGCTATTGTTTTTTTTTAAGCTTTTCTATTTCAAAGGACTCCACAGATCTTTGGTCTACACTGAAGCTTGGTGCTGTGTTAATAGAGAATTACCCTTGGGTTTTTTTTCCTGTTTGTTTCATTTCTTCTTTTTCCCTAGTTCAGTAGATTTTAGCATAGCATTTATATTTAAAGATAGATAATATAAGACAGACCAATTTGTGGACTGAAAAAGATAAATAAGAAAACTAGTATTTAAGGAAATGAATTACTAGCTTTTAAAGTAATATTACTCCCAAAAGGTAAAACACTATATACATTTAACAGGCAGTCCAGATTTCTCAGAAATATTATTTCAAACTGGACTCACTTTCCTCAGTACGGTCAACTAAATGGAAAACCAGAGTGATGGTTTGCTCTAAGCACCAGGGAAATACTATCGGGGGACAGATAAAAGAGCTGGGAGATGCAAGACAAAGGAGTTTGATAAAATAAGGGGGAATGTGGCTATCAAAGTGGAAATAAGTTACTCTGGAAATTCAACAGCTTTGTCATCTAAAAAGAGGAGAATTCCTGCAAGCAGGAGTAATCTTGAAAATTCTTTGCCCTCTGTCCTGCTCACTCCCTCCCTAGCAGTTACCTCCCTTCCGAGAAAAAAGAACGTGGAGGAAGACAGGCCAGGTATTGCTCAGGGCATGGATGGGGGGACTTATCCAGCCCAACTGATACCCAAAAGCTGGGACAAGGCACTAGGTCACCAGAGACATCTGCTCTGCTGGTCCTGGGGGCCAGGCTCCCCCATGGACACCGCAGCTGTCGGAGATGCAACTTGCTGTCCTCAACGCCTGCTTTGCATGCCAGCTGTGACTCTAACAGCTGGCTGGGGAGCTGGCTGTCTTCTTCACAGCTGGCTCTATCAAATAAGGGAAAAAGCATTCAGGTATCAGGAGAGAGACATACAAAAAGGATTTGTGGCAGGAGCTCAGGAATATGATGCACGAAACAGTGCAGGTTGGATCAAGAGGGCTGAATCAAGGGCAGGTGAGGCTGGAAGGGGGGAGCGGGGGAGGAAAGGGACCAGGTGTGAAGACAATTATAATAACCCAGGTGAGACATGACTGGAGCAGAGGGAGGTGAAAGAGTGCACAGGGAAGTGATGGCCATGTGGAAGGGAGAAACGAAGGAGAATCAGGGCTTTAGTGGCATTTGCTTATCCATCCATAGAGCCATACACATGCATACATACAAATATACACACATGTATGTATGCATATATGTATAAACACAGACCTATACCTTTTTAAGAGTGATTGTATCTATCCTTAACACTGATACCATACTTGCAAACAGCAAGGCATCAGAGGACTTCTTGTGCATACCACTTCATTATTATTAATCTTACTCCTTTGAATTCAGGACATCTCCTCTAAGATTTTTACACCCAGCCAAATCTTCCTTCACTCTTCACTTGAATTTCAGTGCTGGAGATTTAGGCATCTAGTATCCCTGTAAGAGAACACAAAGTGTATTATGAGAAGATTCCTGGGTGTCCTCTAGGACCTATTCCACTTTCTTGACAGCACACTATTATTTATGAGCCCTGGCTCTTCGTTCACTGCAGGGAAAGGCAGATCTGAGAGGTGCTGGGCTGGATGCCGTTAAGGACGGTGTAAAAACTCCTTCTGCAAAAAGGGAAAAACAGCCATGAAACATGCTGAGTAGGCTATTATGTGTTGGAGAGGTACTGCTGGAGGGCTCAGAAATGCTGTAGGTGGACTGTGCTGGAGAGGAGAACCTGGAAAGGAGCCTCCTGGAGCATTTTCCTGGTCTTGGAAGCTCATTTTAAGCAGTGATGTGGCATTGCAGGCTGAGCCCAGACTAACCATCCCAGTTTCTTGACCAACTCCAGGGGACACAGATGGCAACCTAATCTAGGAGGCTAATCCTTTTCTTACACATCAGAAAATGTGGAAAAAAAAGAGGAAATGCACTTTTGAAAGTCATCTTGAAAATTGCCTCTCCTCTAGAAGGTTTTCTTTATAAGCCTTTCTAGGAGAGACGTTCTCTGGATTCCAGCTTCATTAGCAACTTCATATGGCCTTTCACTCCTAACCAGCTTAAGTACATTCACAAATTAATTTTCTTTACTTAATGGAACAGGTTGCCCAGGGAGGTTGTGGAGTCTCCTCCTCTGGAGACTTTCAAAACCCTCCTGCATGCATTCCTGTGTGACCTACTGTAGGTGATCCTGCTCTGGCAGGGGGGTTGGGCTAGATGATCTGTAGAGGTCCCGTCCAACCCCTGACATTCTGTGATTCTGTGATTTTTTAAAAAAAACTTCTTACTTGGGTTGTTGAATGCCAAATTCTACTCTATCTGAGTGATTTCTTCTAACTGAAAAAGTTGAGGGAACAAATTGTAAATTCTGTTTGCGCTTTACAGAGAATGAAATAAATTAATAAGCTTTTCCCTATATTGTGAATGTTCCATTTACCCCTCTTCATGACTGGCAATGTAACATACTAAACTCAGAGAGGAAGGTATCATGAAGAAAATTGTAGACTAAAGAAACAAAAAACCTAAGAAAGTATCTGCCCCACTTGTTTCATTTTTTTTCTACATATGAAATCTCAAAAAGTGTCAGGTCTGCAGCATTAGGTTTTGACTGCTGCAGTAGCTGATAGGTAATCTCACAGGACGTTACTCAAAATTGTCCTTTTTTCACCTTTATAACAAATGAAAACAGTGTAAACAGTTCTAGAATTTAAAAATTTAGTTTGTAATTAATAAAAGCCTAGAGTTTGTAATGCCTGGTTTATTTTCTATCCTTCTGCTGATAGACCAAATGAAAAGAAATTGTAACCAGACCTAGAGTGAATGCCAAGACAACCTGACCTCAAACAGGAATGAGATCGCTATTTCCAAATTTGCTTAGCTTTAAAATTTATCAGTGACAGCTATTTATTACAGACCTTCATATAGTAATTTGAAGTGTTATCAGTTAAGCTCTGTCACTAAAGTAATTTCAAGGAGCTCACTGAAAGAGGATGACAGATGAGAGGTGAAGTTCTGCTACTCTGAATGGAAGCAGTCTGGGTTATTTCTGATCATCTTTTGTGGAAAATGTTTCCTAAATCTTCTTGAGAGTGGCTCAGAATGATACAACAGAATACTGAACTGTAAATATGCTCCTTGCCAAGCATCCTTGCCAAACATCAAATCTGAAATTCAGCAGTACAGTCTGCTTGTTACTAGAGAACTCTTGTTCTTCCTACACTCCTCAGTATGGCTGCTAAGTCTCCTCTTCCTAGCTGCTTAAAAACATAACAAACTTCATGCAGGGTCACTCTTGAATCCTCGTTATGAAAGAGTAACTTGGAAAGAACTTAGTTCAGTTTTACAGTGAGAAAATCGAGGTTGCTGTCAGTCTTTGGCTCATACTAAGTTCAGGGAGCAGGATGGGATCTGTTATTGCAGATCTTGAAGATAGAAGCAGCCTCAGGATGGGGATGTTGTGATGAGTCTGAGCAGCTAGTCTAGGAGCTACAAATCTATGAGTACATAGACATGAAAGCGTGGCCAGAAGTGGTGTGAAATCCTCCCTCAGTAGCTGCAGACCAAATGGTAACAGCATTTGCAGTTGCTCTTGGGCAGAGTAAGGTGCTCCTGTGGTGACAAGTACATGCATCAGTGGTTATATCCTCACGCAATAAAAATGGGTGCAAACTTATGCTTTTAGAGAGACATCAGTTGTCAGTGAAGAGCTCTTTAACCACAGCTTGTGGTGGTTCCTGGCTTGAATTAGCTGCGGTGGGCCTCTGGGGCTGCAGCAGCAAAGGGGATGAGGAGAAGAGCAAAGCACATTAGTCCAGTTTGAAGTATCTGTTATCTGTCTCAGACCCTTGATCCTGTGACTGGAAATGAGAGTCTCAGTAAGACACTAGCTCTAAACAGGATTTGCAAAAAGGGAGGATTTGTTATCCCAGAAGCCTTTTTCATGCTTAAAAGTTGCTGTTCGAAAGGACAGAAAGGCCACTGTAAGTAGGACAAGCAAACAGACTGAGGTGGAAGTCACAACACCATGTGTCTTAGTTCAAATTTACAGTAAAATCTCAAGTGTTGAGTGTTTCAGATGGGTCCCTTTCAGATGTCTTCTCTTCTTATCAAAAAAGGGACCAAGCTTTTCAGAGCTACTGCTAAGCCTGGTGAGCAGGTCCCACTGCACAAGTGGCTGGCTTGCATCCTTCAAAACAGTTCAGCTCACTGCTGCTGTGAATAAACATGAAACTGAAATGTAGTTAATTAAGCCTGGTAATTTTTTATTTATCCCCTGACCATAACCACTCTTTCTTCATTTTTCCATTATCTCACTACATTACCTCTAACACTTAATATCTTTATTATAGAGGAAACAGATAACACATGAGAAAACAACTTCCTCCTGCTCCTCCCATTTAGAATCTCCTAATAAACAAAACACGGAGAGTTGTCTGTGGCAATTAGAGCCTATAATGTGATGGATAGCTAAAATATTTACATGACATCACCCTTTGCTTTTATTGGTTAGTATTCCTAGTGGCTGCATTGTAAAATAAGCTTCTCAGCTTTGAAGTTGAGGGAAGCAGATAAATTTATTGACAAAAGACAGAATGCTGCCATTCTAAAACTCTCCTCATGGTTTACATGAGGACATCAATTGCCAGAAAAACAGTCAGGATCTGCAGACAAGTCATTCATTTGATGGTGCTATTTTAAAGCACAGATCATGTATGTGAACATCCCTGACATCACACACTTTCAGTGCTCTGATAGATCTTCCTTTGTCTTTCTTTTTGTTTTACAACTCCCACCTCTTTGAAAGAAAATTTCCAAAGCGATTGCATTGTGTTCATTTGCCTTTACATAACTTCTGAGTAATGCATTGCTAAAGACATCAGGATGTTCCTGTTTGGACATTTACTACAGTTTCTTCTAATCTATTCTGAATTAACCACTAATTCCCACCTAGCCTTTTTATCTCCTTATGTTTCCTTTATTCCATTATAAAATTATAAAATGAAATCTTGGACTCACTGAACTCAGAGTTTCATCTGAGTTTCATTTGGACCTTACTGAAGCCAGCTAAGATTTTCCACTCATATGCCTGAAACCAGTGTCAATATACATGAACTTAGGCTAAAGAGATCTATAAACTTTATTTGCTCTTCAAATCTAGGTTTCCTTCCAGGATGTATGAGAAATCTGAGAAGAAATGCTAATATTCCTTTCAAAATGTTTTGCTTTGCTAGAGGTCCATTTGCTTATGACCACACTGATGGCCACTTTCACTGTGTAGGGTACAGAACGTGAAGTTGTTTATTTTGAATTTAAGTTTCCAGAAAGCACCTGCTCATATTGCTGGCATCATCCTAATTGTTCAAGTAGTTGTGCATCAAAGCATCTGAAGCCGCTTGACTCATTGCAAAATACTCTCCTCTATTTTCAGAAAAGAGTTTCTCTACACATGGTTAAAAGACATGTAAGAGAGTGTTTGCATCTGCTATCAGTGTTGCAGCCTCTGTTGTGTGAAGTTCAGTTCATCAGTATGGCAGACCTCACAAGCACAATGCTTAGAAATAAAACATGTTAGACAACAGAAAGCTTAACAATCTCTCCTGTCGAACTTTCATTGAATGCATGCACTTAAAGTCACTAAACAATAGATTTCAATGTTCAAAAAAAAAAGTGTAGGTAACGTATTGAAATGGAAATAGACAATATATCTGTGGTCTTTGAAATTCTTGCTTCCTTCCACTGAGGTCGTGTGTTGTCTTTACTCATTCTATTCATAAAAATGTGTAAGGGTACTGACAGACAATTTCTTTTGCTCTTACTGCAGGTGGTTTACAAGCCCAACTACTGTAAATGCTTTTTATAGTGCGTCTACCAACCAGATCAGTGAGTATCTGACTTCTGACCCTCCTTATAAAGTGCCTGTTTGAGAAATGTATGTATAAATCTTCAGATAATATCCATATGGTTTATGTGTTTGCGACTGAAAATTATAGAATCATAGAATGTGTTGGGTTGGAAAGGACCTTTAAAGATCATCTAGTCCAAACTCCCGCAGTGAGCAGGGACATCTTTAACTAGATCAGGTTGCTCAGAGCCTCATCTAGCCTGACCTTCAATCTTTCCAGGGATGGCGCCTCCAGCACCTCTCTGGGCAACCTGTGCCAGTGTTTCACCACCCTCATAGTAAAGAACTTCTTCCTAACACCTAATCTAAACCTATCTTGCTCTAGTTTAAAACCATTGCCCCTCACCCTATCACTACATGCCCTTGTGAACAGTCTCTCCCTAGCTTTCCTGTAGCCCCCTCCAGGCAGTGGAAGGCAGCTATAAGGTCTTCCTGGAGCCTTCTCTCCAGCTCAACAGACCCAACTCTCTCAGCCTGTCCTCATAGGAGAGGGGCTCCAGCCCTCTGATGATTTTTGTGGCCCTCCTCTGGACTCACTCCAACAGGTCTATGTCCTTCTTGCGCTGAGGGCTCCACGGCTGGACATAGGACTCCAGGTGAGCTCTCACCAAAGCAGAGCAAAGGGGAAGAGTCACCTCTCTCGACCTGCTGGCCGTGCTTCTTTCGATCCAGCCCAGAATGCAATTGGCCTTCTGGGCTGCCAGTGCACATTGTTGTCTCATGTCCAGCTTTTCATTCACCAGTACCCCCCCCAAAAAATCAACCAGTACCCCTAAAAATCAAAAGCTCAAACCTGGTAACTTATCTGTGAGACGTTTTAACTGAGAGGATAGTTCTGGAAAACCAAGAAATTTGAAAAATTTGGAAAACCAAGAAATTTGAATTACTGTTGCCTAATGAATTATCCTGTGTCAGGTGAGTTGCACTGACCACTTGTGTGACTGCTTGTGTGTGTAGTCTGTCTATTGCAGATGTTAGCTTAAATCACTTTTATTAAAGCTTTATGTTTCTGACTTCTGTTTTTGGTAGCAAAAACGTGTATACATACCTCTGCAAAAACACAGCAACTCTCTAAGTGATAGCAACTCTCTAAGTGATAGCAACTCGGATCTCTAGTATTGATAAATATGTAGCAATAAATGTGACTAGAGGAGACTGTGATATAGACCAGAAAACCTAAAAAGTAGTGTCCAATGGATTTATTCAATTCCTTCAAGGGCAAGGAGTAGTATCTGTAGTTAACCTAAAATTCTTACCCGTATAGTTTGATGAAATTGTCTTGTATGTACAGTACAATCTTTTTTATGCTAATTTTTGTTACTGGTGGGAGTGCAAAAATCCTGGTTTGGAAGCATATGAGGTAAAAGAGCTGAGTTTTTCAAAGATGTGTACATATTTCGATGTTCATTCCTATTAGCTTCAAAGGGACTTTGCACAGAAAATTTCTAACTGGCTTTAAAAGTGTATATCAGTATTGCTGTGTACAAGAGTGTTATCTTTACCTTGACACTTCACTCTTATTTCCTGTGCAAGTTAAATCAGCCTTCTCGTTCTGTGCCATCAGGGTCTAGAAGGTGGCTGCCATAACCACTGAGGTCTTGGTGCCCAAGGACAGGTGGGTCAAAAACCACAGAGTGACTCCCCCTTTTTCTCCTTTTGGTTGCAGAGAAAAGTAGTTTCTGAAAGTCACAAAATGAGTATATCACACTGAAGCTGTTCCAGCAGAAGGCTGGTATCTTGTCCTACCAATCTCTGTAAACAATTTTTGCCTTCCAACCACTTACTTAGATACTTTTTGTGTCTAAGTGAGCTCATTTGTGAAGCACGTATCATAATTAGGCAGTTCTTTTGATTAAAATTTTTTCTAGGCCTTGACTGCTCTACCTTAATTAGAGGGCTGCCATCATTAAGCAGCCACTCTTCTGTGGATCATCTGAGGGAGCACTTGAGACAGATATCCCTGAGCTGATCACAGCCCTGATGTAACCATCCGTCGCTGCTGCTTCAGGTGTATCGTGTGAACGGAGAGAGGACTCGGTCAGCACAAAACGAGGGCCATCACTGTTGTATCTTCTTTAATATGGGGTCCTTTCAAGATTCAGCAGCGTTCAGCTCTCCCAGCCTCCCTGCCATGGCACATTAGAGAGAGCTGTAAGGAGAGACTGGAGTCACTGAAGCTGAATTTCACACTCACTGTGTCTAACGGTGTCATGAAGCAAAGAGCAGTCAAACATAACCAATCAGTCATGGGTATAGAGGCGGTTGCATTTTCTGTCATAACTGCTGACATTCTTGTACTGCTGGTATTTGACCTTGAAGTTTGGATAGTGCTACTCAGTGTTCTTTTAGGACTGTTCCTAAGAGGAAAAGGATTTAGGTGTTTCTTTCTGAACAAAACCCTCGCTTGCCTGAGAGAGGCATGGAAATATAGTCATGCCCTAAAATGATGTGCAGTAGGAGGAAAGATTCAAAGAAAGGCAAACAGTCTTACGCTGCTGGCTGGTGAGATTTGCAGGGGAAGAGGCCCTGTGTGATGTGGGAGAAAGGCTCTTCAGTCTGAAGTTGCTAATAAGTATTTGACACATCACCATTAAGTTCCCATTAATGCTGCTGGGAAAGAATTGCGCTGCAGGAGACTTAAGTTTTTAAGCCTATGCATATCCATATTACGTGGTGTATCTGCTGGGCAAATCTCATGCGTAGCAGTTATTCTCTTACTGATTTGAAGCTATGTAGTAATCTGTACAAAGTTTTGCAGGGGCTGGTGAAATGCTACAAAAACTGTGGGTTATTTAAAGGCCTAGTTAAACAAAATAAAAAAGTTCTACAGACAAGAGTCATTTAAGCATAAGAAACAAGCAGGAACTCAGCAAGTTAAATGTAAAGTTGTGATATAGCAAGCCACGAAGATTTTGAGGACCAACCTTCCAAGAGCATAAGAACTAATAGTAAAAATTTTTCTAAAATACACTGAAAGAGGGGAATCTCTGAGGCATAAAAATGAGATAATTCTTTTCATTACAAGAGTTTGGGAAGTTCTTATGCTGGAGCTTTTTCATATGGGAGGGTAAATCCAAGGAAATCTTTCAAATTTCGTATCATTAGAAGGTAATCTAGAAGAAATTAATGAAATTAACTGTGACATATGTATGGACCAGATAATTTTCTCTCAGGGATTTCAAAGGAGCATAGACAAGGAATTGCCAAACAACAAGCTTTGACATATAGCTTATCACTTACATTGGCCTTAGCACAGGAAGAATAAATGTGGCAACTGTCAAATCCTTTTTTTTTTTTTTCAAAAGAGAATCCAGAGGGATCTGCATAAAATGTGATTCTAGCCCTATATGAAAAAAATTGGTCGTGACCACAACCTAAATGTATAAGTGTGTGGTGTAATGGAGAGGAATCAACATGGCTTGGTTTTTGCTTTTTCCTTTAGAAATTTTTTTTTAAATTCAGAAAGCAAGTGAGCATGCTATGTATACTATGTTTATTTCCATAGAACGATTTTCATCAGATTCTTTCCCAAGTCTATTAACTGGAAGCTGTTGTGGGACTAAAGAAGGTCTTTTCATGAATTAGTGACTGATTAGCGATAAGAAGAGGAGATAGGAACAAATGACTTGTTTTCAAAATAGTTGAAGGGGTGTGTTATGAGCATCTGTGCTGGTCACTGTATTAGCAGATGATCTGAAAAAGAGGATGTGCTGTTCTGAATAACAGAACAGATGGAGATGAACTTAGTCCAGGAGGACAGGTTCCTCTGCTATTGATTGCTGGAAGGTGGAAGGACAAGGTAGTAGAGGTATTACTTCAGACACAGATGCCTGATACTCTTTCTCTACACATCTATTACTGCTGGAAATAAGAGAATGAACTAGATAGGATCTTCATCTGCTTAAGTGCCCCTGCTTTTCAATGAGCAAAATGGATTTTAGTTTATTCAAGGCGCATCTATTGTTGCTCTTGGTAAATGAATTTACCAAGAAGGAGGTTTTGAGAAATGAGAATTTTAAAATGCATAATAGAAATTGTTTCTGGAAAGCAGCTTCTACATTAACTGGAAAATACTTAGTTCCAAAGTTGATTCTAAAACTTAAGACCATTCAGTTTGAAAATGGAAGTGTGCTATGTGATATTATCAGCAAAACCACAGCAACTCCAGTTAGGTTAGTCACTGAAAGCTTTGAGAAAGAGTTTAGAGAAGCAGCATTAGTGCCTTGAACCATGGATTCTGAAAAGGAGCTGTCATCAGGTACCCGCAAAAGTGAAGGAGAATGTGGAGATTCTGAGCACTTTCGAACTTCAGGAAAACGCTTTTGGTTTCTGTGCTCAGAGCACAGGGAGGTCTCTGACACAATCGAGATGGAAGGATTACAGATTCTTCTGTCTCCATAGTCTATATCACTTACACAAGCTTTCAAGAAGAAATCACTGTAATCTCCAAACAAGTCCCTAAAATCTTCATGCACGGGCAAGCTGGTGGGGCTTTTACCTTGGCTACTTGACTATTCAGTTATTTGAAAAGAAATTCTTCACTAAAATGAAAATTAATATAGAGTAGAAACTAAATGATTTAGAAAATTATTAGGTTTGGAAGAATAAAGCAAAACTTGTATATGCAGTAGATTGTAACAAATTTTGCTGCAGTTCAGAACAAACGTCCTTGTATTTGTTATTACTTCATTTCATTTTCATTTCTGAAGTATTGACAACTTGTGTGGCCAACAATTCTGTCAACATCTCCAAAGAAGAAACAAGTAGATGTATCAAGGTAGGATATATCTCTCAACTCTGCTGCAAAGAGCAGAGTTAAAAAATATGGTACATATAATTAATCTTACTATTATACAAATATGCTCCTGATGTTCTCTTTACGTGAGTTCTATTTATTTATTTCCTTTTTTCCCCACAATTCAGAGTGTTTTAGATTAACAACCATGCCTGTTAATAATGTTTGTTAATCATTTTCCAA